CTCATATTTGCAAGTTCGTATCAGCTCTCCTCAAAAGCTTGCACTTGTCAATTTTTTTTCACTTGACTTTTAATATTGTTGTAGTATTTTAGTCCCCTTCAATAGCCATATCATAAGCTGGCTAATGAAATTATAATTTTCTTGACTAATCATTATAGTTACATATAGATGCTATTAGAGTTTATACCCCGGGACTTCAGGATTTATCATTGATCTGGGGAAATTTTTATACTTTGAAGAGATAACGAATTGTTTTTCAAGTCTTCGATAAATTAAAGTACCTTGGTGAGTAGGAGTACAAGTGAAAATCCTTCAAGATGGAAACTGAAGGAAGGAATCAGTAAGGGAAAATGACGAGAAGAATGGATTCCACTCTAGTCACCTTTTTTCAAATATCCTTTATTTTGCTCAGTTTCAGCCTTTGTTGGAGCTAATTTCGGAATTCTATATGAAAATTCAATCAACTAATTTGATGTTCATCTTATCTTCTTTTTTGGTGTAACACTTCAATTCAAAAATTTGAAATTGCCGATTTCTAAAATTCCATCTTCATATAAAATCAATTAGTTGCGGATACTAATGAGTAATTACTATCAAAAACCTATGCAAATCTGTACATTTGAAAGTTTTGGTACTTGTGACAATGTATTAATAAATATTGTATCTGTCTCTCATTAATTCGTATTTCATAGTGCACAATCTTCTTATTTTTGACTGAATTTCAACTTTGATAGATTGCAAAATGAAATGAAATCCAACATCGTACTTAATAATTGAAATAGTGTTCGTATTATTAATGACGCAAATGATAGTTATATTATTATACTAGCAAATATATTCTTTTTAGCGCAACATTCTTCCGTCAAAAACGAGTCATTTAGGATGGCATGCAATAATATTGCATATGGCATTACAGTAATTTTACAATCAGATTATTGTTTGCATAGTTTTTATTAGTCAAATAAAGAACTATAAAAAGTAACGCATTTTGCCAATTAGAAATAAGTTAATTCATACTTTTAGAAATCCCTAAACGAGATTGGAGGAAGGCTTGAAAAGCATTTCCTTCCGCCTACTGCTTCCTTAACTCATTACTTTTTCCATCATCAAAACTCTTTGTCTTGTTTGCGAAACTTCTTGAGAGGCGATACTGAGCTTAATGCATTACTGATATTACAAGTTCTCTCAGTCCCTTTTCAAACCCATTTTGAAGTCAAATGAGGAAAAAAAGAAAACCACTTGGGTATACTTTTGGTTAAAATAAATTACAATAAATAATAGTCTAAAATGAACGTAAAATAAAGGAAACAGCAAGTAATAAATCATTGACAAATGAGCATTAGGAAAGAAATGAGTATTAAAATGATGGATGGATGTATCGCAAAGTCGTATACGATGAGATCGCAAAAGCTGAATTAATACTTCAAGTTGGAATGCAACTATGTGACTTCATACTTCGGTCCAATGCACTATTCAGAACATTTATTAAAGATTTTTATGATTCATAAGCGTGATATTTGCATATCTGATTTACATTAATGTGTTTAAGGAGAAGGCGACTATCGCTAATACATTATCGCCTGAGAGTCATTTATACAGTGATGCTTACTCGATATCATCAACCGTGTAGTTCTTCATTAGTGAAAGCAAAAAAAACAAAAAAAAAGAAAACCAAAGGTCATATAGTCGTAGGAAGCTTTACTATATTCATTTATCTAAAGCTACGAAAATGTTTATCATCCAGAGAGGAAAATAATTTCATTTGTTGGTATTGAATGAATACGACAAATAGATTAGATTAGTTCTCAGAACAAGTTTATAATTAATGAGAAATATTACTCTAAATATCAATGCTCTTTAACTTTTCTACCTGCCATATTATCGGAAAATTAGTAAATGACGTCACGTTATCAAAGACGCAGCACAATGGCATAAGAAAACTGATTAATTAGTTTCAAATAAGTTATAAATTACTTGTTTAAAATGGATTTATTTCAGATCAATGCATTTGTTGCAATGTCGTATTTGCTAAAACAAATAATTTATACATCGATATCCTTCTTATCTCATTTTTTATCATTTATCAAAATTACTTATTTTACTTAACTATGTATCAGTTGTCAAACAGAGACAATGTAATTTCAAATTCTTTTCATTTCTGTCAATTTCTACTTATCTTGGCATTATAAAACGGACGCTTTATTCAGAAATATGTCATGTAAAGGAGAGACATTCTAATGATTTCAATGATTTCAACTTTATTACAGTTGAAAAGATTTGCGACAACAGCGCCGATAAAATTTTTCGCTTTTATTGTCTTGTGTGATGATGGAATTAAATGAAAGTGCTTTACTGCTTAATAGATATTTGTCAATTTTGGTAGTGAAGTGACGAAATGTTTAATATCAAATTAGATGATTAACAGAGAGCGCTTTCTGTTCAGTGCATTTTAGTACAATTGGGCTTGAACGTATTTTCTGGATGATTTGCTTCCTTTCTTTTTGGCTCAATTTTTCAGACTAATACTTTGACTTTATTATAATGGGAAACAGACGAGAATTTCATTCTGTTTCTTTCTTTTCTTCATCCATTCTCATGCTTTCCCTCAGCTCTCTCAACATTTCTCGTTTTCTTTCTTCATTGAGTTCAGTTTCATTTTTTATTTTTACTTCATTCTGATGATAGCATAAACGGAAGTCTTTTTCAATTTTCTTTTAAAAATTTGCTTGTTAGAAGGATTGTCTAAAATTTGATGCACATATATATACATGCACGTGTATGTGTGTATGTGTGTATATGTGTGTACGTGTATATATGTGTGTATGTGTGTATATGTATGTGTGTATATATGTGTATGTGTGTGTATGTGTATGTGTATGTGTGTGCATGTGTGTGTGGTGATTTTGTCTTCTATGAGCAAAAAAAGAAATCAAAATTAGAATGCTTGAATCTAATATTGCGCTTTTTTGATAGTTTAGGAAAGAAAACTGAAAAAAGCAAAGCTTAGCATACTTTTTTGTTTCTTTAAAAATACTTGAAATAAAAGAATTTTTTTTTGATTGAAATAGGAACGATGCTAACACAAATACTGAATCAATTATTTTAAAAGTTCAGCACAAATTATGATCCACCCAAATTTATATCATTTAATTTTCTTCCCCACATAAAAATTAACTCCATTTTAATGAATAGAAAATATTCAACAACAGCTGCAACACCGGAAGTCAAAACTTGACAAAGATCTGTAGTATATATTTATTACTAATTGATTAATTTAAGATAGTGAAAGAAGGGAAATAAATAATTTAGTTGTATAAATAAAGATGATAGTACAAAGTAGCAGAAAATTTTGCTCTGTTTCATGACTAACACTGATAATTGGAGTGATAAAGAAGCAAGCAATAAATGAATGTGTTAATAAACAGAAGTTATCAATGTAATGAAAAATCAAACGATTTAGTGAGAGATTTTCACCAATGATCACTGAACCGAATGAATTTGTAAGTAAATATGAAAATATCAAAAATTCTGCATTAACAATTCCAAATTGTCCTTTTTGCTAGATTTGAAAAAGCTTAGCTAAAAAATATCACTGCTAAATTTATGAATTCCAATTTGAAGTTGAGAAATTATTTAGAAACAATTTATCATTAGTAACGGAAAATTAAGGATTATATTTAAGACGAAGTAAAGCCTCAGAATGTATTTAAGAGATAAGTCGAAAGGAACAGAAAAAAAAGGCATATTTATCAATTCTATGATTTACAATGCATTCATTGAAAATATTTGTTTAAATCAACAAAAAAGCAATGGATTTTCATTCAAATCTTCAACTAGTGAATGGGACTTCATTGATGAGTTTTTAGTTTCATTTGCATAGCTTCAATTTTAGTTAATCACTCAATTTCTGCTTAAATATCTTCCAGATGCGAACAGTTCTATTCTACAGGCTATTTATTCATTGAGGGAAGACGAAAAGATGGAGTATTTCATTGCTCAAATCAATCGATTTTTAAATAAAAATTTCCATTCCTTTATTCACTTCTCCATTCTTTGTTTATGAGAAATCACGAGAAGTTATTCACGATACTTGTCATTTCATTTTATCATTCCTGTCATATAATCTTCAAAATTGTCGTCCTTTTAAATTATTGCGCATCATTTATCGAAATGATTGCACACAGTGTGAGCATTACTCTCACTAGGATCATCCATGAGGCCATTTAATCCGAAAAATAATGAAAAGCAAATAAACATGGCAGAGATCTTTAAATTGTGAACAAAACATTTTACTCTTCATAGATATGAATATATTATGAAAAAGCGATTAAATTTACACCGTATTTAATTCCACATTTGGCTTAATTCGACATTATGCTAAGCAAATTGGAAAAGATCATAGTTCAAAATGTTGCAAGATTTCAAAATGGATTAAAGCGATATGGAATTTTTTTGCAAACATCAAAATTATCACAAAGACGCATGAGTTCATTACATATATTCACTTAGATATTTATCGTGAAATTGGCAATCAGTCAATACGGTCAACTTATCATCTCTTCGTCCTACTCATCCAAATATCACCACAATTACAATTTCTATCAATTTTCTTCAACGCGCAGTATTATTGTACACATATAATGAACGAATAAATTCTGCTCATCACTCCCTTGGCAGATAATCGTATTCGATTCCTTCCCTTATTTTAATACTTTCCAAATCTTTTGTTTGATTGAAATAATCTACTAGCTAGTTGAAATGATAACTCTTCTTCAGAAAACTTCGATAGATCACCCGATAGACACTTCGATTAATCGCTTGGCCGATTGCTTTCAGTGAGAATCGTATTTCGTTTTGGAGAAAAGAAAAAAAAACTGTTTGAAAATATACCCGAAAACGTTTGGTCGTTTAAAAACTGTCATCTGTAGCGGTGAATTTCAAAAACTTCAAGCTGAAGTTTGTACCGAATTTTAAGTTGAAATTGGATCTTCTAGCAGACGATGGAATTAACCAGTGCTAGTGTAATCAGAAATGACACAAGCGCCACAGAAATTACTATTCTATCAACAATTCCTGGTATGATGAAAGAAGTGCCAACGCTTGAACCAAGTTGCTATGTCATTGATACGGAGCATTTGACTGAACGTTTATGGCTCGTAACAATCCTTGGCTCAACTCTTAGTGCTATCAGTATTGTTGAAAATGCTTTCCTATTCTTGATTTTTATCACCAGCAAGCAGCATCGTCGTAGTTATTCGTTGTATTTATTGCTTCTGGCACTCACTGATATATTCATTAGTTTAAGTTATATACTAATAATGTCTGTAAAAGTACTCTATCAATACAATGAATGGGTTTTCATTAAAAAATGTGGTAAGTCTTCATTTTTTCTTGTAAACAAAGGAAAAATCTTGACCGAAAAAAAAAAGAGAGGAGAAGCTACCTACCACTTTTGACTTTTCCCTAGCAAGAATGATATTCCTGATAATCAGGAAAGATACCCTTCCGACAGAAGAAAAACGCTAATTTACTAATTACAGTTTTTTCAGGATGACATATGTAGTGCCGATGATGACCATGTCGCATGTTGCTATAACGGCTTCATCATTTCTTATTGTTTTCGCTACCGTAGAAAGATTCTGTATCACCGCTTCAAGTCATTATGTCGAATTTTTGCAGAATAATCGCTGCTACATTGCTTTGATAGCTGTATTAATTGGTGTGTTCACCAAGGGAACACTGATACTTGAACTCAGGGTTGAAGCAAATTTCAGTTTTAGAGAAATTTTTGGTATTTAAAAAAAATCTTATTGATCACTTTGCAAAAGAAGCATAATCTGTAAAGACCATTATAAATTATGACCTTAACTAAGAAATTAGGTTTTATCACAGAACACTTTTTTATCCATTAAGCTGTTCAATTCTAGTTTTCGTTTCATCCGCTATTTTGGTTATTGCTAATTAAGGCTTGTTATCTTTAGCTATAATTGATTTAAAACTTCTTAGACATATTAGTCATCTTTTCAGCTTAACTTAAACCAACAAAATGGAATAGGTTCACACTTACTCCAAAAACATATACTGGCATTACCATTATCAATTTATCTACCTTGCAGCCAGTTCATGATTTCAACTGTATTGGAACACTTAATGAATACCGGTTGGAGATAACAGCACTGGTAATTCACAATGAATACTACAAATTGTTTCGTTTTTGGTTCCGCAATATTGTTACTATTCTATTTCCGTTTTTCACGTTAATCTTCCTGAATGCTCGGATTGTCAACGAGCTAAGGAAAAGTTTCCTTGCTGAAAAACATAATATAGAATCAACGCATGCTAAAGAACGAAAAGTTTGTTCAAATCTTCAAATTTCCAAAAAAGATTTGGCATGAGATAGATTTTTTGCTAACACTTAGAAGCATTTCATTACAAAAATGAACATCTCTAGTGATTCATCTCGAAATTCTTCATTATGTAACTCTTTTTTGCATTAGAGATGAGTGGTGGCTTCACGGTGCATTTCAACTTTAAGCTTTATTTGAGGCCAAGAAAAATGTTTTTAAATAAGAGTGAATTGATATGGAATAAACAGAGTGACGTCAGATTATCAGTGGATAAAATACAAACATTGTAGCTTTTTCAATTGATACTGGAAAGTTTTTCAGGCTCGAATTCGAGCAGCTACACGAACTTTAATGCTTGTTGCGTGCACTTATCTTCTAGCAAATATGCTCAATGTTATTATAACCATTTGGGAACACACTGACGCTAAGTCACTTTTTAGCAGGTGAAACATTACCTCCAAATTTTAAAGTCAAAAAGCAAAAGGCGAACCCAATTCTGATTTCAATTTCACATTTGCTAAATCAAATTCTAATTTCCAGCTATCCTTAGCGAAATATTACAGTATCAGTCTCCTGAGGATAAGTAGTGATATGTTTTGTTTGTTTCATCTTCTGACTTAGACAGCAATATTTCGGACTAAATGTTAAATCTTTTTATTATCATAGTTTTATTCAGAACCATCGAAGCTATTATAGAAAAATCAGTTTTAAAATTGAAGCAGCCATTCCAGTTGAAGAGCTAATTGTTGAATTTTTTGATTTCAGCTTCTTGGACTTCTATATCTTCAGTGTTGACACAGTATCGTTGTTGACCATTGTAGCATGCGCTTTACGACTGCCTATCTATGCAAGTTGTCAACCAGCGCTTCGTGTAGAAATGATTCATTGTGGAAAGGCATTTTGTAAGAGGCCGAGACACATGAATAACGAGCGTCATAAAGCACCACTTATCAGTCGCAATGATACTATCAGTGAAACATTATTCAATGTATAAAGTAGAAACAGAAAAAAACTTTAATGCAAAATTAGCAATAGCCTAAATGGCTATCTGATTCATTGGAATTGGAAATTTTGGTTAAAAATAAGATGAATAAAGTAAAATGTTACTCAACAATGTGCCATCTATTCTTGTAGTTCCATTTCTTTTATGTTGCGATTCATGTTATACTGGTAAGGCGCTCATTCATTAAGACTTTGCAGTGTATATCAATCAGGACATCCAACTTCGACTAATGAAGCAACTTTTACAATAGAATGTCTCGAATCTGTCTGTCTTTTCTGCTTCGCTTCAAATAAAGGAATTTTAAAAAATTATTGTCGGCATAGCATTGAGAGAATTCATCCGAAGAAATTTCAATTTATTTTTTGAAGCAATGAAGCAACTCACCGTATTGTGATGTTTAGTTACCATCTTGCCATAACAGTTTTATGATAATTGTAATATTCCGGACTTCTGGTGGGAAGAAACTTAGCCAGTTTCATAATAATGGTGGTTTGCCTCAAACGGGAATCTGTCCAAGATAGAAAGGTGCGGAAATGTCTATCTGAAATAATAAATAATAGCGCAACTAATTAATTCTTTGACATCATTAGTTTTTGTAATATATGCTATTTAAATGTCACAGTTGGTGTTATTTAAATTTCGATACCTCTAATAACAAAACATAAACTGAATTTTTTATCAAAGATATTGCCAAGCTTTGATGATAATATTCAATTGTCTATCATCAAGATATCATTAAGATATTAGTGCTTAAATGTCGATATCACATCAATACTTTTGGTGAATGGTACCTCCTCTGCGAGTAGTATATAGTTTTGACACCCAGCTTTGGCCCTTCTCCAAAAGCTGGGACTTCTGTTTCCTTCAATTCAATTTGACGCAAAATTATCATCACTGATGTCGGGAAACGCGAAGGAACTTGGTAATGTGTTCAAACAGCTAAAGAATCTGTTGTAAAAAGCATTTTCAGGATAACAGATCCATCACATTACACGAAAAAATAAAACGTTTTCCCATACCTAAAGTGATGAGTCAGTTATCTAAGCTTCAAATCTTCCAACAATGCCCTTTGTCTGATGCCCAGCTTGTTTACACTTGGTAGCTAAATTATACAGCGCTCTTGTATTTAAATCTTTGCATCTGTTTGTTATCGTAAGCACAACCTACTCATGGACAATATAAAAGCCCTGATAACGGATTCTTGAGGCTCAGAAGGAAAATTTCTTTGTCGACCTTATATCAGTATGACATCTGTCTCCCTTAACTCGACCATTCCTATTCAAATTTGCTATACTATTAACCATTATCGGGAAAACCGAAATAGTAGTATCACAAAATTTCTCATCCAAATAGTCATGAGTTAACTATCTACAAATCGTCTAAAAATGTTCCCTGTCTCATTCTACATCGGTAACTAATTTTTAAAAACCTTATGCACAAATCTTGTATACTGTTTGAGAAAGTTGTATATCTCACAAGATAATTTCCTGTAATTTTCTCTTCATCTATAAAACCTATCTTACACCCGGCATGTAAATTTTTTGTAGCTGTGAGAATATTGTCAATTTGTGATAATTGTTACAAAATTTCTCTTCACACATTCCTTATATAAACCATAAGAAATTCTAACACTGATTCATTCAGTTATATCGGTCGGCACTCAGCTTCACACAGTACACTCTTCATATTTCTCCCAGTTCACTATGCTGCTAACAAATCTCGCCCATTGTCCTATTGGTATTATTCTGGATGGAATTGGAACTATTTTGAACTTTTTCTATTGTATTATCTGGTATTCGGATCATAATAACTGCTGTACGTTTCGAACACACAATAATATCGGTACTCTGTAAGTCATTCCTTTAAAACTTAACTTCTACAACTAACAAAAACAACATCCCTCATCTTACTCTTTCTTCACGACACCCATTGCATCCTCTTTTATTACATAACTCTATTATATTATATTGGCTGCTCTAATTCTACTGTTCAATAAACCTTCTCCGTGCGAGTTGTCGCATCAACAAAACTTCCTCGATAACTGGTATTGACAGCATACTTAGGTGGGAAAGAAATAGAAGGAAATGGTTGATAGGTTCATCAAGCGATATTTGATTATAAGTTAGAGGAGCATTATCAAGGATGGCTGGGACTTCTGCGTGGTTCAATCTATAAGCAAAGTTAAAATACTTAAATGCAGTTTAAACTTCAAGTGAATCATGAACTGGCATAAAATTTTCGTAAAAGAGCCTTTCATTATATGAAAACATTTATTAATAATTCAGATCTTTTCGTAATTTGCTTCAGACTTAATCGTTGTACAACAAACTTATAATCCAACAATGTTTTGTCAAATAGTTTGATTTTTTCCTTTTTGAACTTTGAAAGTCGACCTATAAAAAAATGTTGGTATGATTGCATTAATTTTCACAACAAAAACCTATTATGGCATGCTTTGTAATGAGATTTTAAGGATGAAACCCGTAATTTCAGCATAATACAAAAATGTTAGGCTTGACAGAATAATGCATTTTGTGTGAATGACCCTCAAGATCTGCTTACAATGATTCGATGTTCTTTCATTACGTATGAATTATATCAAAGAATAAAAAATAACAGACTTTATACGGATGCTTTAATCCTGGGGGAAAATTACCCGACACACGGGTATGTATGTTCAACTTACCCAAACTGTCTGCAGACGACAACAATTGTACAACGTTAGCAGGTGTAATATCAGACCTGATAATAATTTCTTGACATTAGGAAGAGACATTCTTATTTGATTAAGATGGAGCAATGCATTTTTGCTCCATTCGAGCAGTGCATTTTTTGGATTCGACAAACACTGCTAGCAGCAAAAAAAGAAAAAAGGAAAAATTATGCATATCAGCTTAACAAATCCCGTTATATAAACAATTTTATACATTTTACAGCAACAATAATCATTTTCCTATTCATGCAATATTCGAGCAAGAGACAAAGTATTAATTTACCAAAACAAATAATTACATATGTCATAAATGTTTTGATTTGATATATCCATGTTGAAAAATAGCACTATTGATTTCTTTTTGGACTGGTTAAATAAACCTAGAAATTCAGCCAATAAAGCCTGTTAATATTGATCATTTTTTCTATTATTTTTAAACAATTTTTTTCTGCACTAATAAATTCCTCCGTACAATCGGTAGGGCAATCTATTTACACATCTGAATGAGTGAAGAATTTGCTATCAGAGATTCGATATATCTTTTTAGAATTTATTGAATCATTGATGGTAATTTTGTCAGAGAAAACCTTATTTAATTTTTATTCTTAAAAGCGCCGGCTGAATTTATGTTGATCAAGTATTTTCCTAGTTTTCAAGGATGATCCTAACCATATTTAGCCTTAACACTAGCCTAAGGCTTGCAGCACTATTACAGTCGCGAAGCAAAAACAATGAATATCATGGAAAGGAATTAAAAACAGTCTTAATAATATTTATGAATGTAATGAAAGTAAATAAGGCCAGGATAGAATTCAGTTTGTTGACAACCTTCGCGAAAGCCTAGTAATGAACTATAGCATTACTTAGTGATTTATTATGTCATTTAAAATTCATTTCACATCGCTTATTGAAATAATACCAATAAATAATCTCTTTCATCCTTCCTCGGTACCTATATTGACAAACTTCTGTTAAAAGAAAGATTGCGGTTGTCAATTAGTTGAAACTCCATATGGCACTGTTTCCTTAGACTGATATGCGAAGAATGTTGTACTGTAAGTGAATCACATAGCAAGTTTGCAGTTATCATGCAACTTACTTTAGAACAGAAGATGAAAGTTTTTTTTTAGCAGTAATCCTTGTTTGAAAAGGGTATTTTCATATGCATGACGAAAGCTACTGTCTTTCCATTCCTGTCGCCTACTGTCACTTTTGAAACATTGTAACGAAATTCACATAAAATGAAATTAATTAAAACAAAAAGTTCGTAATAGAAAGCAACTAA